AATATCACCTCTAACTTCTACCTCTCCATGAAGTGTCCATGTCCTCATATCTAAATGGAACCGTTAAAACTGTCACTCTTGACAAGCCGACCATCGCAGACGTCCAGATCCACCAGGCGCCCCACTGCGAGTGTGCACTTGCATGGGAATTAGTTTGCAGTGAGACAGTTGTGCGAACTATCTAATGTTCTCCTTCCTCTCTCTCTCTCTTTCTCTCTCTCTCTCTCACACACACACACAAACACACGCCTACAGTGCGTGACCGATCTAATGAAATGTTGGCCAACATTCTGGAATTCGTTTCCGATTAGGAAGGATTACGTAAGTGGGGTTGTTATACTGCTTTTCATGCAGCATAACCCTATAACATTTCGGACCCAGCAGGATGTCGGCTTTTGGATGCACTTCTTTTTTGACCTCCTGCAGAAACCACACTCTGTAAAAAATGACTACGTAAGTAGCATGCATTGTTCCTATTGATTTTCGATGGTCTTATAAATTCAAATATATTTTATAGAAAACATGCGCAAAAATGTGCTTTCTTTTACTCCTTTTGTAGGAACTCACATTGTCTTCATATTTTATGCCCGAAGAAAGTGTATATTTAGGTTTGTAGAACGTTTCCCAATTCCCGAAAAATTTTCAGCCTGATCTGCCATTGCATGAGCGTTTAGCAATTTCAGTCTGCAAGGCGCACGCTTTCCGCGTAAGGAAAATGATATATTCCTCTGTCTTTAAAAAGATACCACATAGAGTTTAGGAAATTTTGCAATGGATCAGGAATGTGTTGTACTTTTAATGAGGAGCATTGGCAAACGGACATGTGTGGTCTTGCACGAATGGACATCTCACGGTCTTAAAAATCTCATAACTAGAAACTTTTTTAAAACCTAAATATACACTTTCTTCGGGCATAAAATATGAAGACAATGTGATTTTCTACCAAATGAGCAAAAGAAAGCATATTTTGCGCATGTTTTCTATGAAATATATTTGAATGTATAAGACCATCAAAAATCAATAAGAACAATGCATGCTACTTAAGTAATCATTTTTTACAAAGTGTGGTTTCCGCGGGAGGTCGAAAAGAAGTGCATTCAAAAGCCGACATCCTGTTGAGTCCGAAATGTTATAGGGTTATGCTGCATGATAATCAGTATAACAACCCCACCTAAATAATCCTTCCTAATCGAAAACGCATTCCAGAATTTCGGCCAACATTTCACGAGACCGGTCACGCAGTGCACTAACGAAAGCTGCTGGATACAATTCAGCGTTACATGCCATGATGGTGACATTTAAATTTACATTTATTAACATTGCTCGCATGCCTGAGGTTGTTTTGGCCAAAATTAGCGCCGCTGTTAATCTTCTCCTCAGAGCAGGCGAACAACGGTCGTAGTGGGAGTAGGAGGGAAAGGGTGATTTTACTGTTAGGGTAATGAAGATCCAGAAGTAAGACCGAGAAGACACAGAGGAAACAGGTATGGCCGTTTCCGTCGTATGAGCCTTCGTCATGCAACCATGTCCAGTCTCGCATTTAGATAACCCCACTGGCCTCTTGACTCAGTCCCAAGAGTCCTGATTGGTAAACGCCCCCTACCGCGATTCGGAACAATTTTCGAAAAAAATAGGGGTAAGATTTGGTTATGCAGCCGCACCTGATGGGCACAATACTTAAAGAAGAAGATGGGCTCACTGGAACAGGTTTATTTAGATGCTGACGTTTCGAAGACCTTGGTCGGCCCTCCATTGTCAAGGCGTAAACTGCACTTAATCGACCCGAGATCCCAAGTGGCGTGTCACGTTAGTCGGCTTCGTGCTGATCGATTTTTCTCTCCTCTCGCTGCGTCGGCCTCTCGGGGGGCGGTTGACGCCCGTCAACCTGGCCATCTCCATGTCTGAGAGACCTTCTGAAGTGTTAACTGCAAATGGTGAAGAAGAGCAAGAACCGCCAGACCGACCACCCGACACTGGCTCAATCACCTCCCCCCCTGAGAGAGTGGTGACTCACAAAGCACGCAGACAAAACGCCCGTCAACCATCCCCCGAGAGGCCGAGGCAGCGAAAGGAGAGAAAAATCGATCAGCACAAGGCCGACCAACGTGACACGCCAATTGGGATCCCTGATCGATTAATTGCATTTTACGCTTTGACAATGGAGAGCCGACCAAGCTCTTCGAAACGCCAGCATTTAAATAAACCTATTCCGGTGAGCCCATCTTCTTCTTTAAATAATCAATCCGAATCTCTCAACTTTTATCAATCTGGACACAATACTGTTAGGGGTAAGGGTTAGGAATTAGAGTCAGGGGTTAGAGTTAGGGGTTAATAAAACCGCGCATTCCCAGTTGCTTTGCTTTTGGATACAATTACGTGGCATCGTCGCCTGTGCGTTCCCCGGCCCCACCTGTAAAAACACCTATTACCACCGGTCCCGTATTACAGGTGACTGGGGTTTGTTTACCTCAGGTGCGGCTACATAACCACATCTGACCGATTAAGGTAATCAGTGCAAGGTAATCTGTAGTACGCAGTAGGTCCATATTTCCGTGTCAAACCCACGAATCTATCGTTGATGCCGTTTTTCCATGAGAAAGAAGATTGTTCAGCGACTTCCCTGGTCACGCATTGCTACTGGCTAGTGCATCCTCCGAAGATACGCTGTGGGCCGCAGAGAACACACCCAACGATCGACGCCCCCCGTGGGCTGCCACTCAGCTCTACTCAAACCGCTCCGCGCATCCGTCACTTATGAACTTTGCCCCCGGCGTACTTTGACACGCACATCAGTGCCCTCACAGTCTGTGTAAACAAGTGCTGCGTTTTGATACGTCTGCCACACACCACAAATAGCCTGCAGAAAACAACTTCTCACTACTCAGCTATATAAGCTAAATACTGCACAATGAACGTGACATGGTCTCGCTCTCTCTCAAGAATGCGTGGTTAGCATGGCGCTTTTTATGTCGGCTCTCTGGCAGGCAGCCACCTCCACAATGTTCAACTACTCCACCCAGAAGGTGGTACAGTTGAATTCCAAGTGGGTCGGTGTCTTCTTCCGTCTGATGCAGCTGGGAATCATCCTCTATGTCATCGTCTGGGTAATGATCTTCCAGAAGGGCTACCAGAAGTTTGACGAAGCCCTCAGTGGCGTCACAGCCAAAGTGCGCGGTGTGGACTTCACCAACACGTCCGCCTTCCATTCCAGCGGTCTGGTGGTGTGGGATGCTGCGGACTACGTCATTCCGCCACAACAGAAGGCAGCCTTTTTTGTCATGACCAGCGTCGGTCTGGCTCTGAAACAGACGCTGGGCTTCTGCGAGGAGTCGCCCTACGTGGCGGGCAGTCGTTGCGTCAGCGCGCAAGACTGTCGAGCTGGCGAGTTGTTGGTATTTGGAAACGGCATCAAGACCGGCAGATGCATTCCCTCCAGCCTCCTGGCGAATGTCAGTGTCTGCGAAATTTACAGCTGGTGCCCCGGGGAGCACCAGAACCCCCTGCCAGCCACTCCCCTGAGAAATGCGCCCAATTTTACTGTTCTACTCAAGAACAGTATAGAGTTTCCTACGTTTCAGGTGAAACGAAGAAATATCTTCGATTGGATGGATGTTGACTACTTGGAAACCTGTCTATACGACCGAGATCATGAGACAATGCGGTACTGTCCCAGGTTTCGTATCGGTGATATAATCAAATACAGTGGAGGCGAAACAGAGGCGATCTGGACTCAAGGCGGTATTGTCGCCATCAGGATCGACTGGACCTGCAATCTGGACTATGATGTGGAGGACTGTCTGCCGAGCTACTCATTTCATCGACTGGACGACTCAAAGAGCCTTTATATGGCCGGCTGGAACCTTCGATATGCTGACCACTTCGTGGAGCAGGGAGGACGTGCTCGTTATCTGGTTAAAGCAAATGGAATACAATTCGTCATCACGGTTCATGGCACCGGGGGAAAGTTTGACTTCCTGACTTTCTCCATGAATCTGGGCTCCGGTCTGGCCCTGTTGGGAATCGCCACTCTCCTCTGCGACATGATTGTGCTGAATTTTGTACGCAAACGGTCCATGTATCGAAAGGCGAAGGTGGATCTGTTGGAGAAGCAACGGCGAAAGATGCGGGTGAGTCGGGTTCGCAGCACGCTGGAGGAGATGTTCTCAAAGTCGGCTTCTGTCCTGGAAAACCAAAACGAACCGGTCAGCCGCAGGAAAAGCCAGACAGCAGACGGACGTCGTCAGGCGAACCGCCAGCGGACACGCAGCTACGAGCTACAACGCCAGTCGGACGTTCGCGCGAGAAACGAGCTGACGGACAGACCGTGTCCGGCGGTTCGCCGGCGTGCTGAAGTGTCTGCAACAGCCTTATCATCTCCGGCAACAGTCAGGGAAGCTTCTCGATTCCATGAGACGACACCTACGGAAGATGCAGTACGGCCTCCAATTGCCGACTGACTTCAGGCTAGTATCCGATGTCTCCCTCTCTCCCTCACTCCCTTCCATCGCTTTCCGCCCGTCTCAGTGAGAAGCAAAGTGGTGTTTCACCCCAACAGCTGAAATTCTTATTCTGCTATATACATATATTACCCAAAGCAGAACGGTAGTGTTTCCTAGAAGTATTACAGATTTATGACATTAAAATGAATTCGCGCGCAGCTTGCTTAACAGAACGACAAGCATATTCAGACCCAAACGATCCCTACGGCTCTTGTAAACTTCAGTTTACTTGGCCTGGCTCTTCTATTTCTCGATCCGGTCAAAATGGCACAATCCCCACCATACAAATGCATAAAGAGAACCATTGACGAGTTTTTTTTCAGAGTTTTTGCATTCAACCTGCACTTACAGCCATCTGTTCTATTCGGCCATCCAACAGTTTTTCCCTATCCGTTTAACGGCTGCCATTCCAACTACGAGGTGCACCATACAGATATTAAAGTTCCGTATCGTTGTATTGGACGGGTTTCAGAGTGAGATACCATTCGGCCGATATGAAGAGGCAGCGAGAGGAGATGAACTAGAACTTGAGGGGTCTTCGTGATCACATGTTAATTCCCAATGAGTGACTGAGCTCGTGAAGTGTTGGCTGAAATTCTGAAATGCGTTTTCGATTCGGAAGGATTACTTGGTCGCGGTTGTAATATTGATTACCTTGCAGCATAATCTTATAACATTTCGTACTTGGCAGGATGTCAGCTTTTGAATACACTGTTTTCCAGTCTCATCTAGAAACCGTACTTGGTAAAAAATGACTACTTAAGTAGCATGCATTTTCCCATTGATTTTCGGCAGTCTTGCAAATTCAAATATATTTTATAGAAACCATAAACCAAAATATGCTTTTTTCAGTCAATTAATAGAAAACCACGTCTTCTTTATATTTTATACTAGAAGAAGGAGTATAATTAGGTTTTAAAAAAGTTTTCTCATTCCCGAATAATTTGGGGCCTAATCAATCGTTGTATTAGCGCTTAGTGATTTCAGTCTACAAGATGCATGCGTTCCGCGTAAAGAAAATCACATATTTTTATATGCCATTAAAAAGATATCATATAGAGTCCATAAAATTTTGCAATGGTTGCGGACTATGCTGTACATTTCATGAGGAGCCGTGGGAAACGTCCACGTACGATGCTATGTAAATGGATATCGCGCGGTCTTAAAAAATCTCACAATTAGAAACTTCCTTTAAACCTAATTATGCTCTTTCTTCTAGTATAGAATATAGAGAAGACGTGGTTCTCTATTAATTGACTGAAAAACATATTTTTGTTTATGGTTTCTATAAGATATACTTAAATTTGCAAGACTACCGAAAATCAATGGGAAAAATGCATGCTGCTTAAGTAGTCATTTTTTACCGAGTACGGTTTCTAGAGGAGACTGAAAAACAGTGCATTTAAAAGTCCAGGTGGGGAGTGGGGAAGAGAGAGTGCGGTAGATGCTGCGCAAGTCCACCGTCACCGTAATCTAATTCATGCGCAAGTCACCGTGCCTGCTGCACCTTAGTGTGTAGCACACGGTGGACATCGTCAGATTCAACGGTCGAACCGTCGTGTGTGTGTGTGTGTGTGTGTGTGTGTGTGTGTGTGTGTGTGTCAAAACTGATTTGGCTACCCGAAAGGGGTGCTCGGGGATCCATGGGAGTAAGCTGACACTACTTTATATACCAAAAACGTCTACTTCCAGACGAAGTTATGACTTCAATAACCTTGTATTTGAAGGGAGACCAGCATCCAGCCGCTTACTCGGCCTCGTCAACCTTCTGCCCTAGTCATTAGTACTAGAGGTGTACTTAGGACTGGATGTGTTAAACAACTCGAAACAATATCCGTTTTCAGGGTCATGGCAATTATCCCTGTAGGGCAGAAAGGCTGGATCAAAGCAGAAATTGTCAGCCCCACACAGTTCTAAGTTAAATCCTAAAATGTGTTTTTGATTCGAAAAGTTTCCCTAATTAGGGTTGTAGTATTAAGTATCATGCAAATTTTTCCCAAGGTCTTTCAGTCACGTCAGGACGACGACTTTTGAACGAAATTATTTTCGGCCACCTGCAAAATGTATAGTCTGTGGAAAAATGACTACTTAATTAGCGTGACCTTATGCCAATGATTTTCGACGCTCTCGCAGACTCAAATATATTTCGTAGAAAACCTACACAAAGTACTCTTTGCTATACTCTTATGATAGGAAAATAAGTTCACTTCGCACTTCATACTTGGGGAAAGACCAGGTTTGGGTTGTAAAGAAAGTTTCCAATTACGAGATTTTAAAAGTGTAATCTTACGGTATCATATCAGCAACTTTATTACTGCATAGTTCACATTTATTGCAAAATTCTATTAGCACTTTATGACGTCTTTATAATACCGCAGAGAAATGCATGATTCTCCTTACACGGAAAATATGCATCTTGCAATTTTGAAACCCCGAATGAAAAAGGTACGGGCAGACCGGGCTCAAACTTATTCGAGAATCAAATGTTTTTAATAGGGAAAAGACCTTTTTCTTCAAGTTAAAAATCTGAAGAAGACATATTTTGCTATAGGATAAATAAATAGAAGAAGCAATGGGAAAACGGTATACTGACCAAATAATCGTCGTTTACGCATTGTAGTTTTCGTAGACTGTCGAAAACCACTCCAAAAGCCATCTTGAAATGACTGAAATATCTTGGGCCTATGCTGCACGATAATTTGGCATTATCATATGAATCAACAAATTCCTTCGATTCAAAAAGGCATTTCAGAATTTCGGCCAACATTTCATGAGATGAATAGTGCGTCTACAGTATGCTCAGAATATGTCGGAAATAACCGTCGGCGTGGTCACTGTGCGTGGGTGACCAATAACGCAGAAAAGATAATTATGCTGTCATTTAAAGGTCAACACTTTCTTTAATTTCCTTACTTTGTACGCAGTGGAACTGCTTAAAAATTAAGGTTGAGTATTTAGCCTTATCTGAGACCAGTACGAATACAATGAAATTTAGTCCTAAAATAGACTCTAGTTGTGCTGAGTCAGCCAGCGCTATCCCATGTTTTGATGTTGGGGCGTTTCTGGGTCATCAATGCATCCGTAATTAAGCGAATTTTCAGCAATTCTGCCCCACAAATCCTCTGCCAAAATCGCGTTACTAGCGCAGCGCTTTTATGAATGAAATACACGGACAAACCAACCTCCAATCACGCGGGGACATATAAGCCTGCTAAGAAAAGCCGTAAATACTCCTATTTTCAAACAGCACACTCATGCTTAAGTGCTGTTTTTAAATGCATTTGGGTGTAAATGGTCAGGGGTATTTTTAATATCATGTGCTGGATTATGGATGAAATATTCTACTAATTAGCCTACGAAATTGTCTTGCTTTTCTACAATCTGTCCCGGAAAATAAGCAGTCTTGTTTGTTGAGTCGTTCTAGGCGGTAATTTGTGATGGAGCAGAGAATCCACTTGGTGAAGCATCATTCAGTTCGATTGGGAAAAAACTGAGTCTGATGTAGTGGTAATATTAATGCTCCCACCCCAGGTTATACGTTGTGGTCTGCTTAGCTGGCTTTGGATCACGACTCCTCCTCAGACCGGCGTTGCCTCTATAGCTGCATGATGACGTTGCCATGCCGACTTTAGATAGTTCGATGACACTTTATAGATTATGCAGAAGGCCTGCAGGTTGTCAGATATTCTCTCACGCTGGCAGATGCAGAGACCGGAAGTCGTTGTTGTTCCTGCGACGTAGGTTACATGGGTCGGAAGTTCAGCGTATTTTTAGAAGTCTAATTGGGGATGATTGTGTTTGATTTGGTCAAGGCGCAGCCACTTCCACTTGCTTTTTCCTCCAGCTCAATCTAATTGGGAGTTGTCAACAAGCGGGTATCAAAGAACCCTTCAAGTCCTGTCCGGAATTTTGGCCAACCGATAAATTGTGAGACGTCGAAGCATATTTGAAGACACAAAATGTGCCAGGCAAGCATGAGTGGCTTCTCGGTTCCTGACGTTTAGAAGGGTATGATTTAAAGAGGGCAAGAGAAAGAAAGAGGGGGAGAGAGGGAAAACAAGCGCTATTTAAGAAGAGACACTTTAAACATTGTCAGAAATGGCGTCTTTTAATCATAATGGTCAGTAAAAGTAATGGCAAGAGGCCGATGGACGAAGAGGAGGTGCCAACATGACCATGAGGATGACAACTCTAATCTGATTACGTGTCAGAAATCGTGCCGGTAAATATATAATCTATCGTTGATTTGGCAACTTGGGACAGAGAATATGAGAGAATCCGGGCTTGGTTGGGTGGGCCGACTTTGAGGCAATTGATTCAGAGTAAATAGGTAGTCCGTGTCGTCGAAAATTTGATTAGCAAATTGTCTGACTGTCGTATCAAGTAAAAAAGCCGAAAGACATCTACAGCGGACAAGAGCATGCAAAAGACACATATTAAAGTGAACACTTTCCTTTTTAGTAGGGTGGAAGAAATAACAGGAGAATGGTTCACTTAAAAAAGATTATAAGTATCATTAAAGGGAAACTCAGCGTGAAAAGAGCAAGGGAGCACTAAAGGCAAATTAGCGACAGGATACCGGAAATAAGACTGAAGGAGTCAGGAGATAGACGCATCCGAAAGACATGCTGGACTGGCCTCGGAAAATCAAAAGGAGTTTGCAGACGGCGGCGTTATGATCTATATCCTCTCTGAGTGCTCTACGATCGGTATCGTTTTTTATGCAGTCAACAACAACAACAACCGTACTGCTATCATACGCAATTCATGGTCGCTGGGCGATCCCAGACTATCAATGCGAAGCCGAGGGAGGTGGGGAAATGAGATGGAAGAGTGAAGCACTCCAGAACTACCAGGGAAAAATAAACGTCTCAGGCTACCGGACTGACCAAAGCGAGTACAACAAGAAAAGTTGCCTGCTAGCCAAGGGACACTCCGACCGGGACGCTGAACTCGGA